AAAAAAATTCACATTTGTACCCTTTACATGAAATGCTATCAGAAAAATGCAAAAATACATAAATATGAGAAAGAGAGATTTGAGATTGCGTGGGTAAGTCCAGTATTTTTGGGGACTGTACTCATTTCTAAACACTCAAGGTCATCTGCATATTCCAGTTGGCCAAAGTGGAACTCACAGAAACCACTGCATCATTTCAAATAAAGAGAGAGAGAGAGAAGATATGCACTAAATGACTGGACTATTACTCGATCTACAGAGCACAATACTCTGAAATCTTCTTCCTTAAGTTTCATGATGAGTATTTTGGTGATCTTGACCGTTCTTCGCTGCATGTGTTGTTTAATTCAGGCACGTCTATCAGACTGCAAAGAGCTTGTAACACCACTAACCCTGGAAGATAACTACAAAAGTGAAAGTACACTTTTTAAAGATATTATACAGCTTTCTTATACCTTTAGCATGAGTGAGCAAGAAAGCATGCCTGGCTGCACCTAGTTATAAGAACAAGCAGCATCTTGTGTAGAGTCTGTGCAAGTATTAAATGCAGATGCTATCAAAACAAATGTGCATTGCTGTGTTGAAACTAATATGCTGCTCATGATAAAAATTAAGATTGTTGAACAACTCACCTGTAGTTTTTATGATGAATAATTTATGATTAGTGACTAATTTTAAAAGCAGGGTCCTGTGCCATTCAGAACTCAACTAAATACCTTTTCAATTCCAGTTCAATTTCTAATTTCAATTACTTCTAATGTTTCGGGAAATACCTCATATGTTGTGTATATAGGTTTATATGCAATTTACTGTATATTGAAAAAAATATTATTATTAAATAAATTAACTAACTTGCTTACATTTTATGTTTTACGGACCACGGTGGAGTAAGTTCTTAAAGTCTGAATTTTACAGATTAATTTTGTTTACAATAGATCATGGGGAAATGGATTGTCCGTGAAGGTGTCTCTGATATCTGGTCATTTATGAACTCACTGAAGCGTGCAAACAGCTCATGGATCAATGTTGGCCCAAAAACTCCTGCAAACACTGCAACCCTCTATCACGAGTACATCATGTAAGATTCTTTACATCGCTTCCTCCAGTTTGTGCATCCTTTGTAATTTAATGCTTAATGACCAGGATTTTGAGTCATATCTTTAAAATCTGATCATTCTCCCCTTCAGAAATGGAGACCGTTTCATTTATATTATCAAGTTATGATAGTATAAGTTTATACTATCAACATAACTCTTAAAGACAGCACCTTTTATCGCTTTGGTAAGGCATTAATTTAATTCAACATGTTATGTTAACACTATTTCAGCTGAGATCAAGGGTTGCTGACTTACATGACTTTTTGATCTACAGAAAATGACACATTAGAAGGCAAATTTCTGCCATCCTGCCCTGACTGCCTCACCATGCACATAAGC